ACGTGGTGGGGGGGGAGGGGGGGGGGGGGGACACACTAATAGCCTTACCTCTTGAGTTTGCCCGAGGACCACTAATTATCCCTCCTCTTTTATAGCATTGCTGGTAATTGATATCCTAGAATGAATAAAAAAAAAAGTATTAGAGATTAGCTCTCAAATACCCATTAGTACCCATAGACCTATCTATTTACACACAGTATTTTTAAGCACAGGTAATCTGCGCTTGAAAATAGTTCACAATCAGTAGGTGCTTATAAATTAATTTGATAGTGCAGAATGCATGTCCATGGGCCTCTCTCTAGAACAATAACTCTCAGCCAGCATGCCACAGAGCCCTAGGCTGCTAGGCAGTCTTAGGTTCGTACACCTAACTGTGCTGATTTCACAAGGAAAGCACAGAGATTTCAAATAGGAATCCGCAGCATTAAAAACATGAACTTGCTGGTCTCTGACAAAGCAAGTCACACCTATTCTATTAATTTTCTATAGTAAAAAAGAACAAAAAAACAAAAAAAAACCCAAAAAACCACCACCCTTAAGAGCCAGCATTTTCCAAGGAGTACCTCAAATCTAAAAAAAAAAAAAAAAAAAAAAAAAAAAAAAAAGTTGAGAACTAATGCTCTAGGCAGTAGAAAAAACAATTTAGAAGACTGGTTGTAGTTTAGTGAATAGAAAAAAAAACCTGACAAGTTATTCTTGTATGGGATCATAGGAAGATCTGCCCAGAACCTGTTCCTCAACCAGCACGCACCTTCAGATCATTCCACTCCAGGGTTCTAGTTTGAAAATTTTAGCCCAAATACCCTGACAATTAATGTATAATCACATCTGATGCAACTAAGTCCCAAAATGGCAGATTTTAAGAAGTCAGCATTCAGTTGCACATGAAGAATTGGAACTTGCGGTCAAAGGACAATATGTTCCAGAGAAACATCAACCATTGCTTCAGCTCACATTTAATCCAATATAAAAAGGTAATGAAGCAGGAACATGGCAGTCTGTTGGACCGTCATGACTACAAAATTCCTTAGTAGCTATGTTATATATAGCTGGGAAGGCAGAATTAGGGAATACAGTACTAAGAAGTAGGCATACCTCCCTGTAACACAAGGAGTAAATATGTTAAATCTACAAGCTTGATTCATCTTGAATTTTAGTTTGCTCTCCTTTAAGAGAGTTTGCAGTCCTTCAACCATGCCAAAAGGATGCTAATGTTCAGGAAAATAGCAAAACAGGAAAACAATGCAGTGTGGATTAAATAACACCCCAGGCACAGGGCACAGAATAAAGACCTGTTGTAAATTAATAGCGATTTGGATGCAAGGAGAGTTCCTTTCCTTCTTCTAAGTTAGCACTGGCCTGAACATCCCTGGTTTCTGTTACCAGACGTTAGTTGCTCAGATCTAGGCTACCCTCAGGTTGGAAAAAAACAAAAGCACTACACACCCAACCTACAAGATGACAAAAAATGATTATTTTTAAAAATATACACTAATACTAGAAATCTGAGCAAGAGTTCCCAAATCCTCAATAGAAACAAATATGGTTGGCATAGTCTCACCATGTTCCAACTTCTGTGACAAAGGTCAATCCCTGGTTTTAAGCCATTTAGGGACAGTAGGTAAGATCCAAGTATGGGAGTGTGACATTCTACATGAAATAAGTGCTTTAGAGTTCCAATTATGCAGATATTCAAGTGACATATTTCCATTCAACCAATTCAGTACACAATGATTACTCAGAAAATTAGGGTTGGAAGGGACCTCGGGAGGTCGTCTAGTTCAGCCCCCTGCTCAAAGCACAACCACCCCCAACTGGATCCCACCCAAGGCTTTACCTAGCCTGGTCTTAATTAAACTTCCAAGGATGGAGATCCTACAGCTTCTCTGGGTAGCTTTTTCTGGTGCTTTACTACTGTCCTCATGAGAAAGTTCTTCCTAATGTCTAACCTGAACTTCCACTGCTGCAACTTAACAACAGAGCAAGGAGCAATGATCTCATCTGCCACCACTGATGATAATCTACATCAATCCTCTTTGGAATTGCCCTTCAGGTAGTTGAAGGCTGCTATTAAATCCCACCACAGTCTTCTCTTCTCTGACTAAAGCCCAGTTCCCTCAGCCTCTCCTCATGAGTTATGTGCCCTAGCCCCCTAAGAATTTTTGTTGCCTTCCACTGAACTCTCCAATTTGTTCACACCCTTTCTGTAGTGGGGGGCCCAAAACTGAACACAGTATACCAGATGTGGCCTCACCAGTGCTGAATAGAGGGGAAGAAACACTTCCCTTAATCTGCTGGCAATGATCCTACTAATGCAGCCCAGTATGCTATTAGGCTTTTTCACAAGGACATACTGTTGGCTCATTCAGTTTGTGGCAGACCAGTAAGGGTGCTCCTGCATTAAGCCACCCGCCCCCTGCACCCAACCACCTTCCAAAGCTCCAAGTGCCTCCCTGGAGGCACCTCATGTCCTGCCAACCCCATTTCTGAAGCATACCCGCTAGCCTTGGGGTAACACCGCCACCACCCAGAGTCTGGATTGATCTTGGAACAGTGCCCCCTGGAAACAGGCCTAGTAGTCTTTGAGGGTACTTGACCCACTATAAGAACTTGGGGTGCTTCCCCTCAGTCTGAAGCACACATAGTGGTCTCTCTTAGTCAACCAAACCAAGGAGACCCCAAAGCATACTCTAGACCCTCTCCTAATAAGTCTCCCATGCTAGGTACAGAGGAAAACTTTATTCGTTACAAGGAGTATGTTTGGAATAGGGTACAGAGTAGAGTAATATCAAAGAAATCCCTTAGAGCAACTAGTGGCATGGTAGCCTTTGATTACACATCTATGTTACTGCAAGCTATACATTTAGTTAGATCTCAAGCAGTTTAGTCATAAGTATCATCTAGAGGCAAGAAGAAATTTCCTCTGGAAGCAAGCAGTTCATTGACCATGAGTTTTAAGAGAAAGCAAGGTACAGATGGTCCAGCTTCTCTGACAAGTTTCATCATGGCTACTGCCCCTCCCCCTGGACAGTCCTTAACTTATATAGACGTTATGACCCCATTTACCTGATCCAAGGCCAGCAACTGTTGGCTGCTAGCCAATCAATTTGAAATGCATCACTGGTTGCTGGGTAGATTGGCAGGGTCTCTAGCCCCCACCCGGTCATGATAACATTGCTTAAACTCCCTATTGTTCTAAGCCCCCCACCCAGGTATGTGGGGCAGTCACGTAGGCAGAGAGAGCAGGTTTCCCCTGCTCACTCTGTAACGTATCCAACTCAGGGTTACCTGAAGCTGATGAGGCCAGAAGCACCTGCAGTGACCATGGTAACCAAACTGTCAGATAGCAAAGTTTGGGGAAGAGACAGAAATGGCATTCTGCCACAATGCTTACTGTCCACCAGAATTTCTAGGTACTTTTCTGCAGAGCTCCTGCTTAGCCAGTCTGTTCCCCAGTCTGTACTGGTGCATGGGACTGTTCTAAGTGCAGGACTTTGAGGCTCAGTAAGGGCAAGTAAAAAGTTTTTTTGTCCAATCCTCCAGTTTGGATAGCTCTCTCTCAATCTTAGACCTAACCTCCAGTGTATCTACTACTCCCATCAAAACTTGGTGTCCATCTGAAAACTTGCCACGGGTGCACTCCATCCCACTGATGAAGCTACTGAACAAAACCAGCACCAGGACCAACCCTTGGGGCACTCTATTTGAAGCCAGCTGCCAACTAGACAGCAAGCCAATGTTCACTACCCTTTCAGCCTGATGACCCAGCTAGTTTTCTGTTCACCTGAGAGTGCATTCATGCAATCCATACTTTCTTAGCTGGTTTGCAAAAACATCATTGGAAACCATATCAAGCCTTGCTAAAGTCAAAGTGTAATAGTGTCCACTGCTTGCCCCACATCCCGAGTCAGTCACCTCATCACAGTAGGCAATCAGGTTAATCAGGCATGACTTGCCCTTAATGAACCCATGCTGACTGTTCCCAAATCACCTTCTCCAAGTGCTTAGAAATGGATTCTTTGAAGACCTACTCCATACATTTTTCTAGGCATTGAGGTGAGGCCGATTGATCAATAGTGCCATGAATCCTCCTCCCCTTTAAGCCGAGCACTCTAATCTCCCCTTTTCCAACCATCCAGGACATCTCCTGATTTCCATAGTTTTCAGAGATAATGGCCAGTGATTCTGCAATCACAATAGCCAGCCCCCTCAGCACCTTTGGGTGCATCACATCCAGCCCCATGGACTTGAATATGTCCAGCTTTTCTAAATGGTCCTTAACCTGTTCTTTCATCACTGTTGGCTACTCACCTCCTCCCCAAGCTGTGCTGCCAGGTGACATAGCCTGGGAGCTGACCTTGCCTGCAAGGACTGAGGTAAAAAAAAAAAAAAAGTTATAGAGTACATTAGCCTTTCCACACCCTCTGTCTCTAGGTTGTCTTCCCCATTTAGTAGGGGACCCACACTTTCCCGATTTTCTTCTTGTTATTGACAATTGTAGAAACCCTTCTCATTAACCTTCACATCCCTTGCTGGCTGCAACTTGAATTGTACTTTGGCATTCTTGATTTCACCCCTGCATGCCCGAATAATCATTTACAAGAAGTGTAAGCTTAGAGCTTCCTTTCTGTGTTTTAGCTCACTAAAATGTTCCTTGGTAAAGCCAAGCTGGTCTTCTGCTACCCTTCCTAATCTTCCTGCAAGTCAGGATAGTTTGTTCCTGTACCGCAAGTAAGGTTTCTTTAAAATAAAAACTAGGTCTCCTGGACTCCTTTCCCCCCCTCAGACTGGCCTTCCAGGTGATCTTGCCTATCAGTTCCCTAAACGCATTGAAGTCTGCTTTTCTCAAGTCCAGGGTCCTTATTCTGCTGTTCTTTTCTTCAGGATCCTGAACTCAATCTTTCATAGCTGCTGCTGTCCAAGTTGCCATCTACTAGCTATCTGAAGAACACCTCATTCACCTCACTCTCCTGGTTTGGTGGGCTACAGCAGACACCCACAACATTACCCTTGTTTCTCTCCCCTGACCCTAACCCAGGGACTTTCAACAGGCCTACTGCCAGTTTCATACCGGAGCTCTGAGCAACCATACAGCTCTTTAACATAAGAAGCAAC